CATTTATGCGTTATGAATGGTACAGTACAATAAATACAGTAAACCTTACATCTAAAAACAATTAAAAACCAAAATTTAAAAGAAAACCTAATTCAATTTTTTTTTAGCGAAACGAAATCACTGATAATTTTTAAACGTTCAATCATATTTTCTTCAAATAGGGTTAATAACATTTTAGATCAAGCCATTACATTGCCTGCTTAATAACTCGTATGATACCACAAACAGGCGCACAGATATACAGATACGAGGGATAAATAAATTGGTTTACAAAAATTATACATTGCCAAAAGTGAAACTTACAAAAAAAATATTACGTGGATAATAAACTAAGAATTGATATCGAACTATAGTGCATTCAAATAAACTGAATTAATGCAATGTAAATATACCTTGTGTAGTTATAACCCCCTATTTACGTTGAATAGTTGCGAGAATATATTTGCATTACTTTATTATATGCCGAAGGGCTATACAATAGTCAACATTATGATTAACTGACACGTCTCATTTAATTTGTAATTTTACATCGTATGCCGTGTTTTCCATAGTGCCGCTGCGTATGCGCAACCTGTTTTACTACTTACGGGCAGTTAAACTATTTGTTTAAAAGGTTAAGTAAGTTAAATAATGTAATAATAGTATTTATAAGGATAAATTCAAATGTGAGGTTGTTTGTATCACGCCTTAACCGCTGAAGCAATTAGATTAATTTTTATTCTGGTGACTGCCTCGGTGGTGCAGTGATAGCGTATGCGACTTCTGTTATATGATCTACAAATATTTGCTTCGGAGTTTGGGTGTTTTCTATCTATAATTTGTATGTATTTACAAAAAAAAAGTAAATAAGTATTCCATCAGTCAATCTAGCTTTTATAGTAGAAGCTCTGCTTGGTTTGAAACTAGATGGCGTTGTGTGTCGGATGTCTGAAAATATTATATAGTTAGAAATACATTTCGAAATACTAAAAAAAAAATTATACTTGTACACAATTTAATAATACCAACATAACAATAAACAAATTAAGTAACAAATATCTAGCTACACACACATCAATCACACAACACGTCCATCTAGCTCAGGTGTCGCCGTAAGAAGGGCCTCCGACAGCGTTCGCACGGCCGACCCCTCCAAGCCTTCCCTCACTCTAAGCGGCAAGTGACGTCACTAAGCCACGCCCCATAAAAATAAGTATTTCCGGCTATTTCCACTTATTATATAATATTTCAAACTCCTATTTTAACACAACAAAAGAGTAGGTACTAAAAACTGCATATATCTTGTAATGCTGACACGAGATTATAGGAGATATTAAATGGCTTGTCAAATCTTTCAGACCAAGTTTAAATCCAAATATGACAGGTCTAGCGGTATTTCGTCGCATTTTTTTAAACTATTGTATCTAGCTTAAGATTACATAACGTAACGCGACATCAACATCTCGATCGTTCATAGAAATATTTATTGACTAGCTATTGCCTGCGACTTCGCTCGCGTGATTATATTTATTTCTTCCACACAACCGTTCATTTCTTATTTTATCTTCTTTTGGGTGCAATCTTCAAAATCCTTTCTTAGTGGATGCTTACAGAATAAAAAGCATCACCTGCCAAATTTCCAGTTTGAAGCTCCAGCGTTTTAGGCTCTGCGTTGTTAAATGATAAATGAAAATTTATTTCTGCAAGTAAATCTTTTCAGATATCTTTACAAGTCGAACTTTAAAGCTAGGAGGCCCCGGCATTTTCTACTTCTCACTCTGGGTAGAAACGCTAAAACAAACCACAGAGGTGTCTTTTTTTAGTCCAAGTACAATGTTAAATAGAACTACGCAAGTGCAGTATAGGGTCTGGATTGGCCTTTTAAAGAAAGGAGCATAGTTTTGAGTCGGCCCGTCCATACAAACGGCATACGGGCCCAGCCATCGCGTAGCCTAACCATTATAGTCAAGATCAACAACCCGGAACACAACACTACCGCCAGCAGGATACTTGAATCGTACGTTGAAATACGTTGATGAATTAGACAGTCAGGTAAGCAATTTTATATATAAAATAGGTGATACGGTGATACACACACGTCAGGAAAAATCGTCCGACCACGCTATGCGTTTCTTTAACAAGTCTTCGTCGTGATATCGAACGCTAGTCTTGGATCAGTACTTTAATCGTGACAATTAGTTATTTTTTTATTAAATTGTCTCACAAATCAGGTAAATGAGAATATTGACGCGAGTACTCTGACCAAAAAACGGACACAAGAAGCGGAACAATGAATCACAGACAACGTGCGAGATACTGATCTCCGTTTCCCACATTTGGAAGAATACAGAATGGTTCGCACAAAAAAAAAAACATAATTGGTAATAAAACTTAAAGTAAGTTTTATCTATTTTAGTTTTATTCGTGTCTCTTGGTCTGTCTTTTGGTTTTTATTGAAAAAGCTCCAATTGCCGTGAAATACTAGGCCATAGTGTACATCATTGGCCAAGTACAGGCTGGTAGATTTCACAAGAACTTCCCACCTAAAGCACATCATATGAATTCGACAGTATTCGATTATTTAGTAAGCCATTAATAAAACCTTCAACTAAAAAGTTTCTATAACTTGAAAAGAGACGGTCATACGAATCGCGAATATATAAAGATGCTAGCGATCCGCCGATTTATAGGCCCGCTCCGATCCTGCCAGCCGCTGCCACCCGGGACGGACGTACTGCTCGACGGTCGTTGAGCCCCCGCATTTTAAACCCCTAATATCTTCTAAAATATTCATTTTAATGATATCCTGTATAGCGCCATTTTAATCTACATTAAATGCAGAACGTATCTAACGCATTTAATTGGATAAGAAATATTAATGTATTGTTTAAAATAGCTTCGTAAATAACCCATTCTTTTCTTGTAATATTTAAAAGTTAAAAATAGTTACTGTAGGTTATCCTTAGGAGATTTTTGTAGATTTTTTTAAGATATACAATGCCGTAGTACATTATGTTGGTCTATATCGTAAGGTTTAGCCAGCGTCTATATTGTAAGCCCACAAAAACATGATTTTTACAACAAATCTTTGAAATTCTCGGATTTTCTCTGCTATAATATGCATGTATTATACGTATAAACCTTCCTCTTGAATCACTCTCTCTATTCGTGAAAACCGCATTTAAATCCGTTGCTTAGTTTAAAATATCAAAGCGTACAACACAAAAAAAAAACGACTTTATTTTATACTATGTAAAAATGATGTAATAATCTATTTCAGTAATTCAGAGTCAATATTTTACTAATCTTATCTAAATACGTATAACAGCAAATAATCGATAATACATCGTTGTTTGCGTTGCGCGTGCGTACATGCGTTATTTTATTATCTTTTTGAGGGGTGTTTGCTGGCCCGCAATCAACTTGAATAAATACATTATATTATAACTATAACTACCTTGTATACTACTACCACTTGTGAATTCTAGAATGTTTGGCGTTGCTGTGAATAAACTAGGGTCAAGACCCCTCTCGAGACGGTCAATGACCAATGTAAATGAAAGGAAAGATTTTGAACTTTCTTGGTTGACTGCCGCTTTTAGTTTGGCACGTTCAAATGTTAGAACAAAACCGGCGCAAGAGTATAGTATAGGAAAGATTAACAGAAAAATGAATGCGATTGAAGCAAATGGATATTGATTACAGGGATAAATTAGGGCCTCGGGCATCTCAGAGTAGCATACTTGTAACTCCACAGTCAAAGTTACAGGTATACGTAATGATATTTTAAGGAAGATACGTTATATTCACACTGCACGCACAAAATATTTGTTCCGTAACCATACATAAGTCTATCGATGCATTTTAGAACAAAACATACACTTACCTGTGGTATGATATTCCTTTATCTTTATTACCTTTTTGTCGTAATTTGTGCACTTTCGAAATACACAAGTACGCATTTTATGAATTTTCTTGAATTAGTTAGAACGTGCGCTCGCTCGCAATGGTCCTAATTTAGTCCAGACTAAAAAGTTCTGAAGTGCGAGTTTTGGACATTAAGTTCGCATTTTTGATATAAGTTAGATTTAACGATACAAAACTAAGTGTAAAAGTTTTAGTCCCCAACCTCCAGGAAGGGTTGAAAAAATATAAAAAAAGTGTTTTTTTGCAATAATTCGCAAACGGTAAAAGTTAGAAAAAAAAGTTCTGATTAAAACTTGATTAAACTTCAAATTTTAAAGAAAAATAGTCTCTTAACAGTTTTTTCCCCCCTTTAGAATTAACAGAGTTACGGAGGTTTTAAGTTTAAAGGATGAACGTTAATTAGAAAAAAAATGGTGGATAGTAAAATAATAAATGGATTCAAATTATGTTTTTCATTCTATTTTAAAAAATCTAAACTAATTTCAGACATTTTTATGATTTTTTTTCATCCCTTCCCGGTGGTTGCTGTCACTAAAACTTTTACACTTTGTTTTTATATGATTAAATTTAACTTATGTATATCAAAAATGCAACCTGCATGTCCAAAATTCGGACTTCTAAAATTTTTGACTGAACTAAATTAGGACCCTCGCGTTTTGTGTGTTGGTGGCGTATCTACCCCTTAGTCTAATATCATAGCCACACCTGGTCACGCTATTGATTACGTTCATGAAATAATAGTAAAATAAGAACTAGAAGATGGTAAGAAAGGGATAGAAGTACCCGCATGAGGGTAATAGGCTTGTCCCTTTTACGTAAATGGGACTAAAATACGCCGAAGAAGCATCTGCCTACCCATTCAGAGATATAAGCGTGAGTGTTTGTTTATATGTTCTGATCTTTAAACCGATGTTTGAAATACAGAGAAAAAATTGCAGATAAAATGTACGTACAGAATATTTTAGTTGTTTAATGGTGAAAAAACCCAGATAAATTGATATTATTTATCGTTATCAGTTCTCAGTTTGTATATAAAAGACAATTATTATCGTTTGTGTTTTTTCCCGAGCTGCAGTATTGGGCAAAACTCAGCCATGGAGAAAGGAAATACTCTACCTTTTCCCTATGAATTTGAAGACCTAAAGGCGGAAGAAAAAGAACATTTAGAGAAAATGTATAAATGTGAGTATGTACATATTTATGGTATTATAATTACAGTTGCAAAATGAGCCGCTATGACTAAATTTAGTAGTAGTAGTTTTAATCCAACTAACTTCGATCAATGAGCCAGATCAGTTTGATTTAAAATATCTAATTATATGAACATTTACAATTAGAATCGAACATTACGTAGAATAAAAGGACCGTTTTAGTCATTTTTAGAGTTCCGTACCTCAAAAGGTAAAAAAGGAACCCTTGTAAGATCACTTTCTTGTCCGTCTGTCCGTGTGTCATCACCGATTTTCTCAGGAACCGGTAGACCTAGCAAATTGAAATTTATCCCAGATACTGAGGTCTATGGTCCCTATTAGGTGTAAAAAAATCAAGGCCCTGAGTCAACACGATAAAAAGATATTGGCAAATTTCGTTGAATTGTCAATTTTGGTTAAAAGCAAGGTCTTACAGCACAAATAAAGGAATAATTCCAAAAAATAAAAAAAGTTGAAAATTAAGATAAATTTTGGTACTAACAAGTTTTCTCCAAAATCTACGTAAAATCTGGGTAGGTACGGAACCCTCGGCGCACGAGTTCGACTCGTACCTGACCGGTTTTTTTTTTGTGAAAAATTTAATATTCGTAACACGTTGACATAGATGTATGAACGTTATTGTAAAAAAAAACATTTTTCGCAAAATACACGAATACGTACTTGAATAGACACTTTTCAATGTGTTTATAAGAAGCGCACTAAAATTGCAATGTTTTTTTAAATAAATGTATTCATACCTTTCTTATTAAGTAATCGACTGCACGGATGTCGTAGTGGTTTAAGCGATCGGCACGCCGCTTACTACTGCGCTGAGTGTTGTGGGTTCGATCTCCACATGGGATGACACTTTGTGTGAGCGACAAATTGTTGTTCTGAGTGTGGGTGTTCTCTGTGTTCGTTTCATGTATGTTTGTAAGGTCCACCGCGACACAGGATATATTCCTGGTGCGGGAGTTGTCTTTTTAAAGAAGAAAGATGTAAAGAAAGAGAATTTAGTACAGTATCATTTGCAAATTATGAAATGTGTATACCTGTATCACGTGCAGAATGTGTCTTGATCTAATGTAACTCTCAAAAATAGTAAGTCTAAAATCAGCTCTAAAGGCTTACCATGGCTACGTCGTTTCAACTCTTAGATATCATATATTGTGGTAACTCACACTGAGTTATAGGGAATTCGTCTTTAGGGTTCAAAAACGGTGTGTCAGGACTATGTGTGGCCTGTACAGTAGAGACAGCTGTCAACCTTTGTTTTAAAAGCGTAAAAATACTTACCCTACCATCTTTATACATTTATGAAGTCTCTGTATTCGTGAAGACAAACATGTCTCTATACAAAATAGCTTTTAAAAGCCATTACAGGAAATTAAGGGACAAAAACAAGCTAGAACTCGAAATTCCACATGGAAAAACAGCTCTGTTGAATCATTTTTGTTCTGTATTGGCCAAAAGATATTTAATAAGTTACCTGAAACACTGTTTTTTTTTAATCTGGACTACAAGATGAGACAAATATTTTTATATTTTTCGGACGACCTTCTATAAATACTCCTTCCGAAAAATTAATATTAATCTCTTGTGGATAACTTCCATTGCCATTTGTAAAATATTGACAGTCGAATATAGATGATTATCGACAGTATAGAACTGCTTTAATTTCATGCCATTTAAATCTAACAATTTTAGTTATTATTATGATGATGATCAACTATTATTTTGACATGTTATTATTTAAAGTTATGTTTTGTGCCTAAATTATTTCTGATGTTTTTATGTTTTTGTTTTGCAATATATTGTTTGTACAGTACGTTTATAGTTTTACTCTCAGGGGTAAAATATACAGAGTTGCTGTTACTACTACATTATTGTCCTAATATAATAGCTAAAATTATTTTAGAACGACTACTAATGTAAAAATATATTGATATTTTTGGGAGATTAATGTAGTCGTATTGACAAATAATGTTTCTGACGGCTTCATTTTAATACGTAGTAACGCGATTGGGAAGCATAAATTGCCCAAATAAAAGTTGCATTTATGTGGAGATAGGAGAAATTCGATTGCACGGATGGTGTAGTGTTTTAAGCGGTCGCCACACCGCTTACTACTACGCTGAGTGTTGTGGGTCCGATTCCCATATGGGACGACATTTTGTGTCATCCAAAAATTGTTGTTCTGAGTCTGGGTGTTCTTAGTCCCCATTTCATGTATGTTTGTACAGTTCTCCGAGACACAGGATATGTTCCTAATGCGAGAGTTTGTAAGAAAGAAAAAAAATGATATCAGAACTGTTTTCATTCAGTATGTACACAATTGATAAAAAGATTAAATCTGTAGTAGTTATAATGCCAGAGTCTATCTATACATATGCCACTAATGTAATGTGGCAGTGTCATAAGCATGCTACATTTAGGGTTAACTTTTCGTTGATTTATCAATAAAAAACCAAAGACCCAGCATTCACATACTGTAGGATGAGCACAGGTAATTAGGTAAGTGTTGCTTCTAAGATTAGCAAATGGGAAACATACGGAGAATACTGTTTATAAGGAAACGGTATAACAAATTATGTTTTTTTTAAAATCTCAAACAAATAAGTCACTTTGTCAAAAACTATAATTCTCCTCCTACATGGATAAAGTGGCGACCTTCCGTAAGAAATGAATAGAGTTTGAAATCCTGACGTCAAAATTGTTTAATAACATACTACGGATTTAATATTTTACTCCCTCGATTTGATTTAGCTTAAAAAACTTTCACTAACTAACAAACAATGTGAGATAAAAAGCTTTAAAAAATACTAATGAAAATGTGAAAATCGCTACATTTGTACTACATTAATAATAAATTACTTTTTTTTTTAAAACGCGTTTATATGTTTTAGTCAGCGATTACCCTTCCAAGCTATCTCGAGTAGGACCTAAAGGTTATGTAATACTTAAAAGTTACAAGAAAGAAGCTGCCAATATCTACAATATGCCATTGAGACCCACAGATGTTTTCGTCGCAAGCTATCAACGATCTGGTTAGTACCCATTTACCACTGTACACTACACAATTACATACTTCGTGATAACTACTTAAGTTTTTAATTATGTACGGCTATTTTGTTACAATGCAAATAAATCAAGACTCAGTAAGATTTTTTAATTCTGTTTAAGTTAGGACAGAATTTATGTATAGTGATAGTAATACCTTTACAATTCTCACATACGGTCGTCTGATCCCAAACTATTCAAAGCCCTTTTTTACATGTGGAAATCCCCTTAATCAAAACTTAAAGCGGATCAGATCCCAAACTAGGTAGAACCTGTGCTATGGTAACCAGACTGAATATTAGAACGTATTCTGCTTTTAGGCACTACTTGGACTCAGGAATTGGTCTGGTTACTTTCAAATGATTTGGATTACAAAACGGCCGCAGCCATTCCACTTACAGAAAGATATCCATTTTTGGAGTAAGTAAATTGTATTAAAATTATCGATTTTATTAAAAAGAAAAACTTTTAACGTACACCTGTCTGTCTTACTATGTCGTCTAACCCCGTAGAGTAAGTTAGTTAAATGAATCGAAAGCATTTTTTTCTTAAAGCCGATCTGTAATCCAGAGGTTTATAGCCTCTGCCACATTGTGTTCACTAGCTGCGAACAATCGCTGAATCTGGTGAGAAATGGCTTAAGCTTTTCACGAGCCTTATTGTTCAAAAGTTCAAAGTTGTTCCCGCGTTCAGATTTTGGCGAACAGTTATGATCTAGCTTTTTATATATATTTTTTAAATTTCTTACAGTATATTCATGTTGGCCGAAATAAACCATTTAGATGCACTTTTTAAACCTACTGATACAACAATAGACCTACAAAAAATTAAAGCAGTATTTGAAATGGTTGGCCAGCCAGCAACTAGAATACTTGAAGCTATGCCAGCGTCGACCCCTCGCTTCATAAAGACACACTTACCAATGTCCTTGTTGAAACCTAGTTTGTTGGACACTGCAAAGATGGTTTACGTTGCACGAGACCCAAGGGATGTGGTGGTTTCGTATTACCACCATTCTAAACTATTTATGAATATTTCAAGGTTTGAAGGAACTTTCAAAGAGTTTTGGAATTTATTCTACAAGGATTTGTGTAAGTAAATATGACTATAAATTTTAATTTTAAATGTTTATAATAGTCCAATGATGGATCGCTAATCACTTGATACTCTTGCTTCAACAAGGATGTCTAAACGTGTTTAACCACAGAGTAGAGCTGAAATACCTACAGTAAAAAAAAGTATACACATCAACATCAACTTTTGATTAACTTTTAACATGAATGATTTATATATTTTAGGTATATTTTGTCCTATTTTTGAACATGTCAAAGAAGCCTGGGAGAAAAGAAACCATCCTAACATGCTATTTTTATTCTACGAAGAACTATCCAAGGTATGTCTTTCATGAACCATTTGAATTTTTACTAATATATAATTAACAGCACATAAATTACAGGAATACTACACAAAGTTTTCACGTCTGCGATTTTTATTAAACAAAGTGTGACATCTTTTACATACTGCAATGTATGCTTTAACTCAGATAAGCAAAAATAAGCCAAAATACAAAGTAAACATTGAAAGTTAGCGCTAATGAATGGAAATGTCAACACCGGAAATCGGTCTTTTAAAGGACCCGCTAAAAAATTGATCAGGTCCTTTTTGTCGCTAAGTAGGCACAATTGTACTGTATACCTAATACATTTTTTTATCTTATAGGCGGTGAACGAGCAGTTACTCACTATAATATATAATAAGAATGGGTCTCCTACGATTATGTATTTCCCCATAATTTAAATCTTACCGATCATTTAGTTGTCAGTTCTTCTAAAGTGTGCATTTTTGTATTTTCACGTGCAAGGTGTAATGTAAAACATAATTTGTCTTAAATTTTGCCTTATAAATGGAATTTACTAGTGTCGAACCCGATGAATAATAAATATCTTCTTTCACTGGCCACCAATAAGTACCTGTACTTTCTTGACATATACAGGGTTACAAGAAAAGTCGTGCTAGATCCGTTAAGGGCGTGGAGTACCCATCATTTCTGACATATTTCACTATGAAACACCCTACCCTAAACTTAACCCTTTTCGAGATAATCGTCTTTTAATTTTTTTTATTGAAATTTGCTGATTTTTAAGCTACTACATTTATTTTTGTTTATTTTGTGTATCTTATTATTATTATTTTTGCATTTTTACATGTATAATAAGATGCTTTAGGACGTCAGTCATTAAAATAGTTCATAAGTTAATTGAATAGATCGTAGTAGACAAGTGAAAGTAAAGAAATAAAAAAAAAAATTAGAAAATTATTTTTCTCTAACGGATATCTAAAACCAATATTATGGTAATTGTTCGGCAGATGTTTTTTAAAATATCGTACTACGTTTCATCAGCTATCTAACAATCTAGGGTTTGTATTACATTTCGTGGAAAAAAAGTAGTTGGGACGCTCCAGGTAACAGTTCTAACGGTCCCGCGCCTATTGTCCTTCAAGTTAAGACGCACCAAGCGAGCGAGACAAGTGACGATTTATGTAGGTGCGAATGAAAGAAAAAATGTGTAGAGACCGGTTAGGACTGGGAATACAACAGGGGGCATTGTTTGGTTGTCACTAGTTGTCAGTCTGCTTTTGTGCTTCGTACATAGTAGATGTGATATTGTTTTGCTCTTTTTCTCGACTTGGCTGTGATTCTGGACTATTTCTTCTGATTTGTGACTACTGTGCTTGTTAACCGGACTCTGATTTGTACCCGTGATACGGAAGTGTTGCAGATGACGTCCTACACACCTGAGTAATATGCTAATATGCTTATTTGTTACGGATACTGCGATTGTGTGTCTGCGCAAGCTCGCAACGAATACATAACTCGCTACCCTGGTCGTCGAGTGCCGGATGTGGCCGTTTTTGACAGAGTTTATCGAAGACTTCGAGAAACTGGCTCTGTTTTGAGACGAAATACAGACATGGGAAGACCACGAATTGACGACGAAGAACAGGACAATGAGATAGTGCAACGCTTTCGAGCGGATCCGACTACTTCCACTAATATTGTTGCCCGTGATCTGGGACTTTCGCAATGGAGAGTATGGTTTACAGTGCATACTGCTGGCCTATACCCGTACCATTACACGCCGGTACACGTTATTGAAGAAGGAGACCCCGCGAGAAGATTGGACTTTTGCAGATTTATGCTAAATGCTGACGTAGAAGACCCAGATTTTCTAAGAAATATCTTGTGGACGGATGAGTCTAAATTTGATAAAGATGGCATAACTAACTATCACAACGCCCATTACTGGGCCCCAAAAGAACTAAGGAATCCCAATAAGAAAAGAGTGAAGGGGTCCCAACGAAGATTCAGCGTGAATGTGTGGATGGGCATTATCTCCAATCATTTGATTGGACCTTACTTTCTCCCGGATAATCTAATTGGGGAAAGCTACGAAAATTTCCTGAGAGCAGACTTGAGTGATTTGCTGGATGATCTGCCACTCAACCTGATCAGGGACATGTGGTTCCAACACGATGGCTGCCCTGCCCATTTCAGGAGAAGTGTCAGGGACTGGCTGGACACAAATTATCCAAACAAATGGATAGGACGAGGTGGGCCCTTGCCATGGCCAGCAAGAAGTCCGGACCTAACCCCCATGGATTTTCATGTGTGGGGGTGCATGAAAAGTCTTGTGTACAGCGAGCCGAATCCAGTTTCGTCTGTGGAAGACTTACGAGAAAGGATTGTGGATGCAGCAAATAAAATGAGGACCACGTTGACCACTGGAGTAGTGAAGACTGGTCTGCGTAGAAGGATGCGACAATGTATCAGAAATAGAGGCTGCCATGTTGAACATGAACTGTAAAATAAGAAAAAGTTGTGTGAAAACCTTTAATAAATGACATTTCATGCTTAACTATTGTTTTATTTTACTTTTTTGGGCTAAGTATAAATTTTCTTCTCCACTGTCGCCTATGAAACTAAAGTTTTTTCAATGCATTTGAATAAAACCTTAGATTATTATATCTCGTTAGATAGCTGATGAAACGTAGATATTTTAAAAAACATCTGCCGAACAATTACCATAATATTGTTTTTAGATATCCGTTAGAGAAAAATAATTTTTTAATATTTTTTTTATTTCTTTACTTTCACTTGTCTACTACGATCTATTCAATTAACTTATAAACTATTTTAATGACTGACGTCCTAAAGCATCTTATTACACATGTAAAAATGCAAAAGTAATAATAATAAGATACACAAAATAAACAAAAATAAATGTAGTAGCCTAAAAATCAGCAAATTTCAATAAAAAAGTTAAAAGACGATTATCTCGAAAAGGGTTAAGTTTAGGGTAGGGTGTTTCATAGTGAAATATGTCAGAAATGATGGGTACTCCACGCCCTTAACGGATCTAGCACGACTTTTCTTGTAACCCTATATACATTAAATGATGGGTACTCCACGCCCTTAACGGATCTAGCACGACTTTTCTTGTAACCCTGTATACATTAGATTTGCCTGCCGTAGATGTTGAATGACTGAAATTTGATTCCCGATTCCCGTGTGATCTGCTCTATCTGAACAAAAGGCTTCTTTTAATAACATCAGTGTCTCCTCTATGCAGAAACTGATGTGTCTCTAACATAAAGGAAGAATAGTCCGACCAAGGTAGATGGCCCTGCCTGGAGAACTGTGGGATTTATGTTGGGGAGTTGTGTATAATCCAATCGACGACTTGTTGATTTCACTACAAGACGTAGGATCAGTAGTAACTGCGTAGTTTGTTAACGTAGATATCGACCTAAAAGTACTAACAAAGAGTTATTAATTATTTTCAGGACTTAAACGCTTCTATAAGTCGGGTTGCTGATTTTCTAGGTAAAAAAATAACTCAAGAGGAATCAGTGCGCCTTTATGAACATCTAAGTTTTGACAATTTTAAAAACAACAAGTCAGTTAATTTCGAAGAACTGAGAGAAATTGGACTACTTGCACCTACCGAAAGTTTTGTCAGAAAAGGTACGTCGTAATTTTTAAAATAAAAATTTAAATTTAATTATGTGTGCAAAAGTTATTAGAACGAAGTTCCTTATCGCGCGTTACTCGCTCCGAGCGGATGGGAGCGAGACCGAAAAATGTGTAACAAGACTTTTTTTAGACACTTGTTACTATAGTACGCTTAGACCAACGCAACGCAAGACGCAACCGATCTTAAGGCGGTTTGCACCAATAGAAAGAGTGATTCAAGAGGAAGGTTTATATATATACCTAAAACATACAAAAAAAAACAGTACTTAGGGGGTCCCATTGTCACGAAATCACAATCTGATGATCCCATGGAAATCGAAGACAACCCTCAAATGTTATAGGCACGTATTATATGTTTCATATATTTTCTGAAGCTATACAAAAATTTGCGTCTGTTAGTCACTATCTCGTGCTGATGAGCTGGTAATGGAAGGTAAAACTATTTAAAAGTTAGGAGTTGCAGGATAGTTCTCTAAATACCATATGTATGTTTAGAATTTTAGTTGTATTCTTTTAAGTTTTTAGATGAGGTTAGGAATTAGATGATACTTTAAGAAACCGACCTAGTAACCTGTAATTAATGGGATAGCGCACTGTTGCCTCACGGAACTTCTTTTGTTTTGCCGGCCCACATCCCTATAATAAGTTTAACAAAATATTAAATATATACCTTCTGACAAGAGATATAACGAAGATATAATGAGATATAACGAAATGTAAAGCTGTAGTAAGTTTATATCTAAAAACCCTAGACTATAAGGCAACTGAACAACTGTTAAATTCACCTACTTAGTGGTAGTTATCCGGTCTAATAGCGCAGACTGAGGAAATAAAACCAAATTATATCAGATCGCGCCGCAGCCTGACTACATTTCTTCCTTTTAAATCCTCGCATCCACACTTACTCGTACCTGCAAAACTCAAACTAACACATCTTTTTAGCATTTACTTTTACTTACATTTACTTTACATTAGCATAGTACTCTCCCGCTACACACCTTATCATACACTACCACTGCACACATTATCCACACAAACACTCTCAAAGCTTCTGGTTTCTCCTAAACTTTAACTTTAGTTAAATACTTTTTGTATTAATTCTTTGATTGTATCCTAACGTCTTTTGCTTCAGTAATCAAACTACATGCGGGAGGGGCCTGGTGACCCTTATAACAGATTGTGCATTAGCACAAACCTACAACAGGCACTAGTCTCCCACAATGTTGAATGTATTGGTTCAATGTATTGTAATTTATAGGAAAGAAAAGACATGCAAAACTGAGGGTTGGATTAGCAACCTTCACTACATACCCAGCTTGTCTTAGCGTTCTAATTTAAATATTTTTTTACAATTGCTTTTTTGGCTTTGTGTGGCTCTCAGTCGCAAAATGCAACACCATCATTATGCCATCTTTATGCATCTTAACGCAACATAAACATTGCCTTTGGGAATTTTAGGGTAATGCCCTTGGAGGATTGGCTCGAGAGGCGTCACGGGACCCTCTCATACCGACTGACGCAGGTGATCACTGGGAAAGGATGTTTCGGGGATCACCTGTGTCTGATCCGCAAGGAGCCAACGCCTGAGTGCCACCACTGCGATGGCCAGACCGTGTACACGGTTCTCCACACGCTGGCAGAGTGCCAACGGCGTGGGTTGAGCAGAGGCGAGACCTCGTGGCGGCCATCGGAGTGGGAGTTCTCTCGCTCGATAGCCTGATTGCGGCTATCGTGCGGAGCGAGAGTGCGTGGAACTCTGCCGTCTCCTTCTGCGAGCAAGTTATGCTCGCGAAGGAGACGGCGGAGCGGGACCGGGAGAGGTTTAGGACTCTCCTGGCCCGCCAGGCCCGGGAACGGGCCAGGTACCGCAGGCGACTCAAGCGCCGGAGGTCGCAGAACGACCTCCGTCCTCCATAAGCGCAGGCCTGGGGGTGACCGGTGAGGCCATCTGTCACCCTAGCAGAAGCAGGCCGGGGTGGCGGCGAGCGCGTTGCGAAGCGCGCTCGCTTCCAGGGAGCACAGGGAACATGGGGTTCCCACACGGGAGGGGGTCGTCTACTCGTCTGTAGATGACCCGAGGTATGTCGGGGCACCAGGGACTTCCTTGCCAGGGTATACCTGGTTCTCCGGCTATTAGTACCCGAGACGGCGTGCGGTTTTAGTCGGTTCGAGTCCGACATACCACCGACAGGTGGTATCCGAGTGGATTTCCGCACGGCAAAAAAAAAAATGGTAATGCCCTGGAGTTTATGTACTGTAACTGCCCAACTGAGGATTAGCAGTAGCATTCTCCGGTTAACATCCAATCAACAATTAGCTTTTAGTTGCTTGATAGGTTTAACAGGGAACTAAACAGGACATTTAAACTTGGACAAGATTAGCCAACGTTTGCAATGTAAGCGCACGAAAACATGTTTTTTATGACAAATCTTTAAAATTCTCGGATTTTCTCTACTACAATATGCATGTATTATACATTTAAATCTTCCTCTTGAATCACTCTCTCTATTCGGGAAAACCGCATTAATCCGTTGCTTAGTTTGTATTGTAATAATATTGCATTTAAAGATGTCCTGTAGTATAGTCTTATCTAAAAGCCTTTCGCTTTTTGATAAGATACAATATACTTCTTATTTCTTATTACTATGGTTACTTATCTTGATAAGACTATGCTTCTTATTTCTTATTACTATGTACCCCCATGGGTCCATAGTAAGAAGTTCCGTTCCGTATAGTACTATAGTTCCGTATAGTAATAACTTCGTTCCGACCGGGGGTCTATAGACCTCTCACGCCGTTTTTAGTTACTTTTTTAAATTTTATTTTATTTTTATGATGATCTCAGGAAAGACAGGCGGTTGGCGCGACTACTTCGATGAGGAGATGACACAGCAGGCAGAACAGTGGATCGCCGACAACCTGCGAAATACGGATCTCCGCTACCCACATATGAACAATTAATTTGTTCAAATAAATCTAATAAATAAATAATAAATGTAATCTAATTTGAGTCATCTAACTTTATAATACTTTATGCATGTTCAATTTTTTTTTGATAAAACGCGAATAAATTACATATCGGTACATATTGTTTTTATTGTCTACATCGGACTTGATTACATCTAGCCCATTATTTCTTATTCCATAATGTGTTTTGAACTCTAAACTTTAAGGAGAACAGTTGTTAGTTAAATGCTTGCTGAAAATCGCACACAGGTGTTCTCTTATGGATGATTAGTGGTATAGTCCATCTAATCTAAGAGGTCTGGGGTCAAAGAGATCGAATACCAGAATATCCGATTCTTAAGAGATATTGATATAATCTCTTAGTATCTACTAATCGATTACAATTTTACAGATTTTTGTAAGTTACTATAAAAACCCGTGTAATGGCATATCATAGGTTTTACGAGTAAATCTTAGACATGAGCGATTTTTTCCTACCAAGATTTATTGAAAATTACATTAACATATACGAGTATACTTATAATTTTAATTATGCGTTTTCGTTGATTGAAAATGACTCGTTATTAATAATATCGATTTTTCGTACATTTTATCGATTATTCGTATTCAAGTGAATTTTAAGAACCGCAAAATTACGGTAAAGGAACTAACTACGTGGCTTTAAAACAAAGTTTAAAAAAAACACATATTGTGTGTAAATTGGTTACTTTGTTTTGTATGAAAGATATACATTCAAATTAAGTCATTAAGAACTGACCCAAATTATCTTTACAATTTTACCTGTTGTTTATTATTTTACTGAAGAAGTCTGCGGGAGGTGATGAAATCAGCGAAGGCGTCTTGCATAGGGTGTTGAATATTTTCCCACTTAAAAATTGACAGATTTTTTAAAAGGTGCAATACAAGTACAGTATTGTAATACTGTTAGGGCGTAGTCCGGTGAGTACGGTAAGTGACAGAGAGTTTTCAGCTGTAACTCTTGTAATTCCGATGGTCTGTCGTGAAGTGTGAGCTCACGCGTTGTCGTGGAGAAACAATGGGAAGAGCGATCGACTGGCTGTTGAATTGCATCTTTTTAGTGGAAACTCTACATACTCCTGGCTCCTGCGTCCCCAAGGAGCCGGAGGTCCCAAGGGATTTTCCACCCCGTGGCAACAAAACACTGTGATTTTAGTTGTTAGAGTGAACTTGAACCTTGCCTAAAACTAGAACCTAGGCTTGTGGACTACGGCTGGATGGAGCTGAACAAATTTTAGACTGGTTGGCTGACTGGCAACCTAGTTGATTTTGATTGATTTACTACAATTAAGAAAATTTTCCAGCTCATAATTCTATAAAACACTAGTTTTAGTTAACACTAGTTTAGTAGGAACTATTACTAAAAAATAGAGCATAGAAATAAAAAATTCACTACACGCCGGATAACTGAGTATGTAAATTTACGTACATTAAAAATTATTTTGCATACATAATTCCAATATTTTTCTTTAACTTCCTTGGGAACTAGCTTCTGCAGAGCGTTGACCGCTACAAGAATGAATTACTAACTAAATATACTGAAAGAATATACAGTCAACCACAAAAAGCTTTCAATACAATACAGTTCAAGCATGCTATCCTCCGATTTTTGCTAATGAAATATTAGCACTTTGAGGTATTTACATAGGTTTTTTTTTATATAGAGGGCAAACTAGCATACAGGGCACCTGATTTACTATCAGGTGAATGTCGCCCATGGGCACCCGCAACTGACGATAAAAACTTAGTTACCCCACTCTTAGAATAAGAGGTAGGTAATGCTTGAGTCACCTGTAGCCTCACATACTCGGTATGTATGTAATTAAAAAAATGAAAAGAAAAACTAATAAAACTCGTCTGTGGGGAAAGTTTAAATTATGGGAGAAGGCATATTAATCCTCACAGCAATAGATATTTTCTGCAATAATAGTAAGATATTTCATATTTATCTAAGTACGTTCTGTTTTATTGATATTAACAATAGTTCAATTAAGTTAGGTAAGGTAAGTAGAAACACAGTAAACATTTCTTCCACAATTAATATTGCAAACAAATGCTTCTTGAGCTTAAACAGTGACTGTAGTCGTTGATTGTACTTAACAAAGAATAAGTTCACGTATTTTAACAAAATTATTGAGTCACATGTGAACTTTGTTAATAATAAGTGAAATGATTCAGACAATAACGTTATAAACTTAAATATTTTTTTAATTACTCGAAAGACTTTGTTTAGCATATGAGAACTAAAGTAAATTAATGTTAATTTATTACTTTTGTCAAACAATTTAATACGCATATGTTTTATTTATACAAATGACAGTATGGTTTTGTCTGTTTATTAGGATATCTTTATTATTTTTTGAGAGAGAGACAATATAGAGTATAGATAACACTCCCAGAGAAATAACGTTTCTGTCTAAGCGTATACAAATTGCCGGTGACACAGATTGCTGTACTTAATTATGTTGCAGAGCAGTGGCAGATATTGTAGTACGCACTGAAACGTGGTTTTAAAATGTACCAGTTGCTACTTCTTCGCGTGTGTTTATTCAATTATTCTGGTTAGCTGGATATAGCATGAGTGTTTTGTTTGTTAGTAGTTTTTGTTAGATTAAGGTAAAACATTATCATTCATATTTCTACGATAACACTTTTATTTATATCTTAATTGTTTACAGTTATCACATAAGATACCAACAAATATATAGACACCTATAAATAAGATAGATAACCTTAATACGGATATTAGATATTTAAAAAGTTGGGTAGCTTACATACACGTAACGCATTATCACGTGAATATTTAAAAATATAAACAAGGGCATTCATACACAAATGAACATCTGTTCACATTACACATACACACATACATAAACTCAAACTCTCTTTATTTCATTTTTTTTTTTAATTATTTTAAATCGTCTTTTATGTAGACTCTAAAGTCATAGATCAATATAACAAAAACTAAAGCAACAATCTCTGTTTTGACAAAAATGAGCAAATAAATTTAACAAAATCAAACCCATACAAAATCTATGATATGCCTGTGCCGATCTAAAACCGCCGGTTTCCAAGGGATTGAACCTTATGAGAAGGCTCAACCCCTACCCTACAATGGCACTATTAAATATACCACAACATTGTTTTGATGTGTGCCAATATGTCCATTATTAAGGACTAAAAGGTAAAAAGACAATGAAGAGAAAACAAGATTAAGAAAAAAAAACGAATAAAAGAGAAAATGAAGTGGAACATAAAAAATAGAAATAATAATAAAAACACACACTAGCCACACTACGTTTTTACTTAAGGCAATTAATCCCAAGAATATTTAAAGTTGTTAATACTTAACTCTTGAATATTATTTGCGATTTTATTATAAAATCGGACACATTGACCTCGAAAAGACTTGTTTATCCTTTGGAGCCTAGAGGCTATCATTTTTTTTCAAAGAGCCATCTTTGTTTTTATGAACAAAAATTTTCATAAATATATTGACTTAAACTTAATATATATATATATATATATATATACACAAAACATACACCTAAATACATTCAGTCCACAATATATGCTATATATGTACTATAATAAATCCAACCGTATTTAGAATGTCAAATAAAAATTCTTCACCAGCTTTTTGAAAACGGGCAAGGTTTTAACTTATCGGATTATTGTGTGCGTTTTGGTCTTGGAAAGCATATTGTAAGCATACATTAGAACCTACTCGTTTATATTGAAAGCAAAAGGCTGAACTTCGTGATAGCTGACAAGCTATAGGTAGCTAAAAAGCTGTCGTACTGCATACTAATACTTGTGTGACATAATGTTAGAAAAGTAATATTTCGTGGAACGTTCATTAACTGTTAAAACCTTATCCCAAAGACACAGATCGACAGTCTTAATCAAACCTAACATCAGAGAAACATTTTATATCTACGCAAGCTATGTGTGGTTGAAATTATGTGCATAATAAACAAAAAAAATGATATCCAATTTTCTATGCCTATTATTAATAAAATAATTTTTTAACATTACCTTTATACTATATGACGTAGTTTCAATAACTAGCCAGACAGTAGACGATTGAATTCACAAAGTAGCTTCGCTTTAAGTTACATTTGCGAATTCGCCGTTACATATATATAGTGGTAAGCACGCTAAGGCTATCAAAGTGCAATCTGCCACGAAGCAGCTATTTGTGTCTGAAATATTGAATAAGTTCGAATCAAAATAAAAAAAATCTTATGCAAAAGTGTTAATTAACAAGTTAATATGAAACCGGATAACAAGTTTCCTTTCAAAATTCAAGATGTCAAACCGGAAGAAAACAAAATGTTATTAGAATATTTTAAAGGTAATTTCTTTTATAATTTTTAAGCTGTATTGTTGTTGATCTAATTAATTTGATTTCTTTTATATATGTAAATTCAGAGTCTATATATTTCCTACTGCGGATATTCGAAAGACTTTTTATAACAAAATCGTACACGTAAGTAAGCGTGAAGTGCTCGATAAATTCTAATTAAAGACAATAATTGCGAAAGTGAATTTGTTGGTTACGCTTTCATGTAACGAACATGGTGAAATTTTTCACGCACGACAGCAATACAAAGGGTACCTCATCAATCTATAAAAAAGTAATTGCAAACGGACCCGCAGGATAATAATATGTGTAATAATTAGTAATATGATACAAATACCAGCCGATCCCTAAGTTTCACCTTTTTGGGTCACTGTTCAACTCCTTAGAGTAATCGTGGGATGGTAGGTACCTACATAACCAATAATTGAAGATAATAATTAAATATTAATTTAGAAAAGCCTCAATGAATACTTCAATCAATGCAAAGAATTTCTCAAACCTGATCGATAGTTCCAGAGTTCGTATTGCATTTAAACAAACAAACAAACAAAAACTCATTAGTTTTATTAGATCACTGTAATATATACATATAATAATAATAATATTTTCACACATCTCACACACGGCCGTCTGATCCCAAACTAGGCAGAGCCTGTGCTATGGTAACCAAACTGCTGATAATAATAATAATAACAATTTTTATACACTTGATACAGGTGAACAAATAGAACCAATGGATGAACATACGACGCATAAATATTTAGGATTCCGCCAGTCTAGACAGATTCAGCAAAAACAGACAAAATTAGAGTTAACACAGAAATTCAAAGCCAGAATAAGTCAGATTTTGAGAACCCAATTAAACTCACGCAATACCATCAAAGCCATCAACACGTATGCAATACCAGTTCTTATTTATTCGTTTGGGATTTTAGCCTGGTCCCAGAGCGATCTCATTAAATTACAGCGCACAATCAACACACACATGACAACCAATAGGAAACATCACCCCAGATCGTGCACACAACGTCTTACATTACCACGGCAAGATGGAGGAAGAGGTCTCATCGACATACAGAATCTACACAACAATCTTATAGATAAGTTACGCAAATATTTCTACGCCCAAGCCGGACAATCCCATCTTCATAAATTCTTAACCGATATAGACAAAAAATTAACTCCGCTCAACTTAAACGACACAAACATTCAACCAAAATTATTGAGCAAACAGCAGAAAATAGACTTATGGGCCCAAAAGTCTCTACACGGCAGACATCTCGCCGATCTCAGCCAAATACACGTCGATAGAAAAGCGTCGAACGAGTGGCTGCGGCGCGGAGAACTCTTCCCAGAAACCGAGGCTTTTGTGATCGCTATTCAGGATCAGGTTATAGATACTCTTAACTATAAAAAACACATAATCCGTACCCCTAACCTTCCTACCGACTTATGTAGACGATGCCATAGCAGTTCCGAAACCATCCAACACATCACTGGTTCTTGTAAATCTATTGTACAAACTGATTATAAACACAGACATGACCAAGTTGCAGCAATAATCCATCAAAATCTAGCTCACAAATACTCATTTATTTCAAATAAAACTGCTTATTATAAATATAAACCCAGTACAGTTCTAGAAAATAATGCATTTAAAATATATTGGGATAGGACAATAATTACCGACAAAACCATACATTATAATAGACCGGATATAACAATACTAGACAAAACTAACAAAATAGTTTTTATTATAGACATAGCAGTATGTAACACACACAATCTCCTCACGACGCACACAGAAAAGATGACTAAATACATAGACTTAGCAACGGAAATAAAAAGGCAATGGCAGGTAGATAGAGTTAAAATAGTACCCATTGCCATATCTACAACTGGCGTAGTACCGAAGACTCTTCAAGATAGCATCAACACATTGGAAATGCCGAAATCCTCTCTCATACTCTTACAAAAAGCAGTCCTTCTTAACACATGCCGTCTCACACGCAAATTTCTCGCTTCATCCTCATCATCTTAACTTCATATCATCATCCCTTTTTGGCACACTTGGCTAAGGCCCGTGTGTTAGATTTTGTTACCCCTTTAAAATAAAAGGGAGACCAGACAAGGTATGAAATGACATAATAATAATATTATTTATTTATTTTTTACACATTTCACACCGCCGTCTGATCCCAAACTAGGCAGAGCCTATAATATGGTAACCAGACCGCTGATAAACATACTTATATATATTTCTAAATACATACATATTATGGATAAATTACACCCAGACTCACAGAACAAATGACCGTGCTCATCACACAATAATTTGTCCTGGGTGGAAATTGAAACCACGACCTCTGGCGTAGCAGTCATGGTCACTAATCACTAGTTACTAAACCAACAGGCCAGTCAATTGATTAAATTTTTAGGTCTAAGTACGAATCATATCGATTATTATTCGAAGAACTTAATATATTTATAAAATGTTCCACTTAAGACTCGAAATGAGCTAGGGTTATTATGTTTCCTATGTAATAGTTGATAAAAAACAACTGATGTACATAATTCTTAACTCAAGAGTACACTATCTTATTTTTTTTTAAAGTGAAATTTCTTTAGAATCATTGTGATTTGAAACTCGATGAAACGGAAATGCGTCACGATAAAGAAACTACCTAACACACAAATAAATGTACAGGATTAAGTCGGCGAGAGAATGAGACAGAATACATTACATATTATTTTTAATATAATATTTTGACAGTGTCAATAGTTTTATCTTTTTATTGAATACTAGGTGATACCCGCGACATTTTCGAAAATGGCTTTTTGGCAAAACCTTACAATTTGATTAAATTAAATAATACAGAATTATATGTTATATTTTCGAAGGGAATAATCGTTGTGGGATGGCGCCGTTCAAACTTCCCCCTTAAATAGGAATTTGAAGAGAAACCACCTGCATTTCAAAACCTATAACATAAACTTTCTTGAGATGAAAAAGAGATGGCGCTAGCGCCATCTCTTTTATACATCTACATCTAGATGTAGCGCCAACAATAGGGACCTCTTTATTACTTTGACCTGAAACTATTAGTTACTTTATTAACTTACTATTATATTAGTTAGTTAATGGTCCCCGCGACTTCGTTTGCTTGCAATTTGAAAAGCATTGCCTTAGTGGTGTAGTACGGTACGCGACTGCAGTCCATGGGTCCTCCGGTTCGATTCCCGGACCGGGCAAAACTTTATAGGGTTTTTTCTGAAAGGAAAAATAGTTTAACTTATATAGACAGCAACCTAGTAGTAAAATATTATAAAAATTAGTCCAGCCGTTTTGAAGATTACCCGGAACAAACAGACAGACATCTCGAGCCAATAACCGTGTGAGCGTTTAAAAACCTATTACTTTGAAACCTCAGATTAGTTTCAATCTGATAATAAGGCTAGTAAGTGGAAGGGAGTAATTTTCAGTTCCTACTAGTAAGCCCCTCAAATTCGGGCTATATGATTTTCGGCATGGAATAGACAAGCAATGATAGTCTGATGACGAAACTGGAGATAGTAGATAGTGGAATTTGGTTATTGCTTTTTAATTCGGTTCTGCATTAAAGTAGGTTTTTATATCGAATGCTTTTAATATTAATTCATTATTGTAATATTTATAGCTTTATAATTATTACATACATGAATTGATTCTTCAAGAGATACTTTGCCTCTTCATAAGTAATCCTCATATGTGATAGGATTTTATTTTTATGTAATTGCAGGGGAGTTCGACGGATTCGTCCGAGTGGGCCCCAAAGGCTATTTCTTTCCACAAAAATATCGTCAAGAAGCGGCTAACATCTACAACATGCAGATAAGACCGTCCGACGTATTTGTCACCAGTTATCCACGCTCAGGTAGGTGTCATTAGTACGGCGGCCCATTGATCCTGTAACTCAAAATACAATAGAGGCACTACGTTGTGTGCCCCCCTCCCTTCAAAATGGGAGGGGGCACACAAGGGAGGGTAGTTTGGGCTGCGATAACTTAACTCACTCAATGAAAAGCATAGAAAGATTTGCTAAACACCGATTTGCTGTGGGACGTGGTGTCTCTCCCACGGTTTACTACCGATTGGCTCATCGTTAATCATTAAAGGATAGTAGTTTTCTTTTTTACAAGAAAATATTTTATAATTCGTTTTTGAGCAATCATAGTTAACAAATGTGATAGCAATCAGATATATGTCTAATGTATTAAGATCTTGTTTATACTACATTTCAATTGTTTCAATTCCAAAAACCATTTTCATAACATTTATTTATTTTGGCTCCAATAAAAAATCCAAAATATTTATTTATAATTGATATGCGGAATCCGGATTTAACCGGATTGAAATTGGTACAAAATTGCAACTCCCATCAATTTTACTAGTAAACATAATTATAGCAATCGGAATGAATACTTTCGATAGTTGTATTCATATTTTTAAAATCACTTACATTTACAAGAACTTACTTAGTCATGAGGAACATTTTCAAGAGGTGAAGGTACCTTTAGTCGGAAGGTCGACGCCTAAGGTACCTTCACCCCCTTTTGGAAAAGTTGCCCTGTCTGGAACTTTTTGTAATACACACGTCAGAAAACCATGTATTGTTTATAAATACTTATAGCAATCATTGTGAAAAGTGTTTCTATGCATAATTATTAGGCAGTTTGGTGCTGAGTTATGACAGAGATGGTCAGTTCGAGATCTGGGAAATCAAAATGGAACTTTACCCTAATTTTCTTAATTTATTTTTGTACTTGTAATTTGAAATACTACCTAGTACATGTAACTTGTCAATATTTGGAAGTTATTTTCAGCCCCGTCATTTATTTAATAAAAGCGATATTTAAAAGGCAACGTGTCTTTCTTACTAAGATTTAAAAACAATAATAAAATAGTTTTAATTATAATGATTACAGGTACAACATGGACCCAAGAATTAGTGTGGATGGTAGCGAACGACTTAGATTATGAAAAATCGAACGCTGTACCCCTCATCGAACGCTACCCATTTCTTGAGTAAGTTATTTCTTGGTAGTGTCATGATTTATGTTTTAGAATACCTAAGTATCTGTTTTATTTACTTCCTACTTTTTTTTATAAAAGACTACTCCCGCTCTAAGAATATATTCCTGTGTCGAAACTTTACAAACATTTATTCAAACATACACCAAGAAGATAAATCTTCTTTCTATGATGAGATGTCAAGAGATTGACAACATATTATTGTTCTGAGGAACAACAATATGTGGATCACATAAAATGTTGTCCGATTTGGGGATTGAAGCGGGTTCAATCCCCAAATCGGACACACGGATCACACTCGGCACAGTTGGAAGCGGCGTGGTGACCAATTAAACCACTTTAACTTAACCACCAATTTAAAAAATTACAGATATTCAGTCACCGTTCATCCGAAAAACATGGAGAAATTCAGACAAGAGAACAGTTACAGTGAAAAAAAACTCGGACTTTTAGAATTTGTCTGTCAGCCAGGAACCGAGCAGTTGGCCGAAATTCCGTCACCTCGTTTTATCAAGTCGCATTTGCCATTGTCACTCCTGCCGATGACGTTACTTGACACTGCTAAAGTGGTATATGTAGCACGAGACCCCAGAGATGTCGCAGTTTCCTTCTACCATCTCAACAGGCTAATTCGGACGCAAGGCTATATTGGCGATTTCAAAACATATTGGAGGTTTTTCATGGAAGATTTGCGTAAGTTGCCATCAATTATGCTGCGCTAGCTTCTTCTACCAGCGCTTTTAAATTAGTCAGGTCAAGTTCAGAGATACAGAGAATTTGTAAAGTAAATAAGTACCTATTTAAAAAAACTACAATATTAAGTATCACCCGTTATCATCAAATCGGTGGACAGTGCCATCTAGTGGTGAAGTTCAGTACCAAATGGTTAATCTTGTTGGTAGGTACTAATATTATAAAGCTCAGTTTGTTTGTTTGGTAGAAGCATTAATGTCAGGAACTCCTCGTTCGAATCGAACAAATATTTTATTGTTTGATAGCCCATTTATCGGGGATTGCTATAGGCGATATAACCTCACGCCTTGACCAATAGGAGCCCAGCAACAATAAAAAATGTCCCAAAAACGGACGAAAATTTATTCCTTTTGACTGACGCAGACTATTGCGCGCGTTTTAACATAAATCGTACAATACATTATGGTCATGTCACTGCCATAATTTATACGCACTCTAATACAACCAGATAGAAGACAGGTCGGTACATCACTGTCATACATTACTAACAGAAACACTATTACAGTATGTGACGAGAAAAAAATATCAAAAGTATGGAAAATTTGTGGGTGGTTAAAAAACTGCACTCAACTCATCGATTCAACGACGAAAGGTGTGCCCTACTAAGTCGGTCAGCTTGTGACCGTCAGCGCAACCTAAGAGCCAATTCTCGTAATAAAAGTTCGGTCACAATTCAGTTCCGATTAACTCACGATCTCACAACTGTTATAAAAGGTATTTTCGTAGTAAAGATTTAAACATCCAACGTTGACTGTAATGTGACCATATCGTATTGTAAATAGAATAGGTGATCTATTGATCGGAACCCAATACAATTTTGGCCGAACTTTTATTACGAGAATTGGCCTTTAAGTCTAAATGTCAGGCAATTCGAAGTTATTTAATTAATAACTTTATCATTATCATAACTTTATAATTAATAATTTTATTATTAATTATTATTATATTAAATTAACGCGCTCACGTACCTAGAGAGCGTTAATTTAAAAGATTATACTACTGTATGTTTAGTTAATTGTTTCTATAAGTAACTGATGTATCATTATCATCATCAAAAGCCTTTAATAGTCCAATGCTGAACATAGGCCTCTCCTTAGAAAGGAGGTTTTGGCCTACTACACCTAGCTGGCCAGCCTGTAGGTATAGGATTTGTTCCAAATTTTCCTTCTCTATGCAGTGCTGTTATTATGCGTAGTTTGCCTCTTACGACACCCACGGGATGAATAGGGCCAATGACACTCCGTATTCTTAATCCGTCACCACACGGGCAACTGATGGATAACTGATTAATATTGGCAGACAACGCCCCAAGCATTTAGCCCGCCGGTGAATAAAAGGGCATAAAGTTAAATAACAAAAAAAAACCTTTGCCCTACTTTTCATTTTTTTATTATTCTTGTTAAATGTTACTCTTCTAATGTTATGTAGAAAAAAAAAATTATGCATGTGATATTAGATAGAGTTTATATTCTTACTGCATCTTTACCACCTCACCATAGCAGTTTACTCGGTACTTACATCATACATGTTATACTCCTGAGAAAAAAAGTAAACTGAAAAAGACAGATATTTAAACATTCTAAATGCATGGTAATAGTACTTTTAAAGTTATGTTTTATATATTTGGATAATGTAATACATATTGTTCGTAAATTTTAACGATTTTTATAATGCATTTTAATCGTTTTTTTAATCGAATTCATATTCACACTTTGTTTCTTGTCTTTGCTTTTGTAAAAAAATATTTTAATAATTCTTCAATCTTTTAGATCAACAGGTCTATAAAGAAAGAAAAAAAATAAAATAAAAGTAACTTCACACATCTCACACACGGCAGTCTATCTTTTATAACATCATCACATCGTTTAAATATTTTAAGGGTAATGGCAGGGAATATAACTTAAATAGATTTTGATGAGAGAAATTGGATTATATAATAGCCTGGTTTAAATATAATAGCAAGCAGTTTCCTTTGAAACAATTTAAACTAACACTATTTATTAAACTTCTTAGCTATAGAAGTTTAAGCCGTCATACGGCTACAATGAAAATTCTTATATTACCATAACTACTATTTTCTTATAGATCACTATACACCCTACTTCGAGCATGTCAAAGAAGCATGGGAAAAAAAGGACCATCCAAATATGTTGTTCCTGTTTTATGAAGAACTTTCTACGGTTTGTCACATATTTATAATACATATAATTAGAAACAAAATATCAAAATATAATTCAAGTATGTTAAATAGCAACTAAACTTTTAATATATGGATCGCTTTCACAAAAGACCAACATTTAGTAATTTATTATACATTTTCCTCACGAGAGAGATTAAGTCAAAAGCTTCATAAAAAAAGAAAGATTCGTTTTTTCTTTGTTTGACTTTCATATTCACATAACATATATATAACTATAGATATACTGACTAGTATCAATGGGTAATATAAATAAAAGAAAGAAAGTTAACACAAGAATGAAAACAAACCTCTAAACTAAATTAATGTTAAATAAATAACTAAATAAACTTTATTTTATTTTCTTTCTCTATAATAAAATTTACAAAAATGTACCCATTGAAAAAGAATCTTCAAACAAATTATTTAAAAAAGAAAAGTTGAACCGACTTCAAAAAATACTAAGAAAGAGCACTAAAATTAAAAAAATAATTACTAACCTAGTTATAAGTGCGACCCTCACAACAGTAACAATATAACAACAGACAACAAGTAACAATATAATAGCAATAAGTACCTTCTAGTCTGTTTGAACTCGATGTGAAGGCCGATGCACAAACAGTAAAAGTTATTTGGTCGTAATGGGACTACCTCGGAAGAATATTCTTTCGATTACAAAATCATTTTAAAATTAGTTCCACAATTGAGAGATATCGCGTCACAAGCATTTAAAAAAACAGTTGAATTGAGACCCTCCTCTTTTGTGTTTTTGAAGTCAGTTAAAAACAGAATACGATCCCTTTTTCGCAGTCTCATATTTAAATTTTTAACTGGCCTTTTGGTCTAGTACACAAGTAATCATGGAATGAGCATGAATATTTGTTCTCTCTAAATTTATATAAAATAATTAACTTACTTGTCTTTTAATTTTTGGATATGTAAAGATAATAATGTGACAGTAAGAGTTAAAGGCTTAATGAACCAATATTTTTACAGAATTTAGCAGCGACAGTGCGACGCGTAGCTAAATTTTTCGGTAAGGAGTTCTCGGACGAACTAATAGAACGCCTGTGCGATCATCTCAGCATCGACAACTTTAGGAACAACAAATCTGTGAACTACGATGCAATGAAAGAGCTTCGCATTCTTCAAACGGGAGAACAAGGATTTATCAGAAAAGGTACATTTAATTCTCTTCATAATTATAGTAAAATAAAATGTTGCATTTTAAATTCAACAATTCATAATATTTTCTGGAGACAAATCGAATCGATTACAGTCCTTTGTAGAGGAAGATTCATATTTTTCAACGAAAGAAGTGTGTATAATGTTATATAATTTTATGTCAGGCAAGGCAGGAGGTTGGGGCGACTACTTCGATGAAGAGATGATGGAACAGGCGGAACGTTGGATCACAGATAATCTGCAAGACACAGACTTGCGCTTTCTGCAATAAAATAGTTCGTTACAAAACCATAATGTCAATTTCTAAACATATATAGCATCTATTTACGTACATCCAGCGAAAAGATTTTTTGTTATGAACTACTCATGAGATTGGATCCATTCACTGTCGCAATTTCTAATCGAATAGTAAAAAGGGGCCCTACTGTCATTTTGTTAATGAAGATAAAATCGGAGAAAATGTCTTATTTTGAAGAATATGAGTTTTTTTTATTTTCAGATTTACTTTGTGTGACTTTTTTGGTCGTTTCCTTCATCATTGTCATTCATGTCCGTTCTGAACTGTATTGATGGCTAAGATCACCAGCTGTTTCCACACTGCCTGGTCTTCAGCTTTTATGAACGCAGTAGTTATTGGGACTCCTGTCGGTGTTGCGACCTGCTTAACCGCTTAACTTATTTTTTTCCAATTACTATCAGCTCGTCTCGATTATACAGCTGGTCCGTGCTATGGCCAAATTAGGTTAGTACTCGTGACAATAGTTATAGGTATATAAATCGTTTCAACAAGATTTTTGAATAAAAGTTTTTATTTCATACATTAAATAATGTTGCCTTCAAACACAGTAAAGTATTAAGTAACAGTTAATTGTGAAAGCTAAATGAAAGCAATCTAACATTTTTAATAAAAATCCAAAATAAAATAATGGAACGGCACATTGATTTGACTTTATCATATATATATATATCTATATATATATGAGATAACAAGACAGAGTCATTTTTGCATTATTTACTGTTCAGCACGATCATTTGTTCTGTGTCTGGGTGTAATTTTCTATAATATGTAGGTATGTATTTATAAATATATAAGTATGCTTATCAGTAGTCTGGTTGCAGACCATAGTACAGGCTCTGCCTAGTTTGAGATCAGACACCCGTGTGTGAGATGTGTTAGGTTATTGTTATATCATTGTATACAGCTATACGACTACAAAGTTATGTTGCTGTAAGTCTCAATTTTCTATAAAAAAACTACATACAAGTATAAACAACCTTTGGACCTACTTTCTCTTTTCTGCAAGTCATTTGTATCGTACACAAAACATTTAAACATTTTTTTTTAGTCTCCTATAGTCACGGTTGAAGACGAGTTGTGGTCAGAAGATCAGTATCGGTATTGGCTGTTGGCTCCGGTTTCCGCATTTAGCCAGAAGATCAGTAGGTATAAAAGCAATGATGTAATTCGTAACGTTTGCAGTCTATGCAACTCTATCTGTTCATAACTGCGGTATGTAACTCTTTAGTGGTTAAGGCGTTGGACTTGCGATCAAGATGTCGTGGGTTAAAACCCTGACCGGTTCACTACCCACGTGAACCCACTCCTATCACAAGCAATTTAGCTTAGCGGGAGGGGTTAACGGGAATACTAGTAATTTCGGTTGCACCCTTCTACTCCTGCGCATTTAAAATAATGGACCGACAAACTTCCCGATAGATTATAATACAGGGTTTGCTCTGTGAAAGCGCAGATAGCGCCACTGTAATCATTTGCGTATGTGCTCAATTTGTCCTTTCCTGCTGGTATAACTGTCAATATATACATATTTGCACTCTGTTCATTGGCTTTAAAAAAGTATCACCGACTTCACTGTATTCTTCTCTAGCAACCCGCCCTGGCTTCGCATTTACATATCTCACGCACTTGGTGAATGGCAGTGAAAGAACTGCTCAACACCGGTTTTTTGTGAGCCTTGCTCATTTGTGCTAAAACATGACTCTCCCATGTCAATTTCCTTTCTTAAGATTTCCATTTCTATATCCTAATATGGTAAAACATTTAACCCGTTTCTTAGCTAATGATAAGTGGCCACGATGACCTAAATTAAAATTTGAATGAATTTTGTTTTCTTAGACTGCTGCAATTATAAAAAATATAAACGGGGCTCTTTAGTGCCCCCGCATCCTTTTTAAAACTACACACCTTTTCTCGAAATGTTTCGTCGTTTTTATGTACCCTCAAAACTTGGATTTGGATTATACCAGATAAACAAAATTTTGGGGATATGAAATCCCACCTTGGCGGTTTCGCTACCGGTTCACCGTATAAGATGAAAAAATTATTTACTGTTCATTACTTTTCTATTACTTGTACAAAAGTTCTTGTAGTAACGAAACGGCCAAGCTTGAAGTTTGGGCTTGTAGACTTGAGGCGTGTAGAGTAAGAAGATTGGCTCTACATGAGATCTGATAACTTTTGACAGTGCGAGTCTTGACGGTCTCGTCTTGATAACATTTTCCGTGAAATGTTTTGGTAGGATTATAGTTGCCAGTAATGCTGTTTTAAAAGGTATTGTAAAAATGAGTGTTAAAATACTGATTTTAGGAATGTGAGTCTCTCAAATTAATACGCACATATATTTTTGGTGGTATCACCAAATCCCACAAATCTCTTACAAGAAAACTGAATGTTTATGTAAAATGGCTATGAACTTCTTATTGTATTAAATATATTTAGAAACTCAGGCACTTGCATTAATAAATAATTTGTAGCGTAATCAGATATTTTAAGAATTATTAGAGAAACTATTATCTATGGAATCAAATATATTTAAAATATAGCACTCTTCTAAAATACAAATTTCAAGATAAGTGTGAAATTACTTGTTTAAACCATACGAAACTGCTCCATTCTGACCTATTTGACCTGCATCTCCTAGTGATGGAAACTTAGGAATTGTTTCTTTCTTTTTAAAGGTGTATTATAATTTTAAATCCAATACTAATAAAAATGGCAGCACAGGTTTATATAAGAAGCATAAGAAGTAGAATTAAATAGGTAGGAAATCTTTCAATGTATACAATTACATACTTTAGACCATAGCAGCTTTTAGTCAACATAAACATTTAAAGAAAAAAAATATCCTGGTGGCCACCACTCTAGGAAATGACCAGCTTTTGTTTAATTATCGCAATCTCTTCTGACATGAATTTACCTTGAAAAATAATATTAAATGGACTGCTTTCAATAACGAACCAGTTGTATATTTACAAGCAGGCTGGTTAAATATTGCTTAACTTAACCAAACCTCTATGTAGTATTTCGAGTCGAGATTGAACTTGATTTGTTTCTCTCCAGTCGCGTCGTTTCTTTGGTGATCGCAGTATCGTTCACACCGCCCCGAGCGTGACTTGTGAGTGCTGGTCTGGTATCATCACGAGCATCACAGATTATCACGAAACATTTAATTCTTTGCGCATAAATATTAAATTAATTTGTTACATCTGCAGATAACCAGTAATATATATTAAAAAGTGTTGTTAAGTCAAGATGAATGGCTACAAGAATTATTTTCCTTTCGAAATTGAAGATGTAGAACCGGAAACAAATGAAAAGTTGTTGGAATATTTTAAAGGTAAGTGAATTTATATGTTAATATTACAAAGATATTAGAAGCTACTGTGGTTGTACGACTGTTTATTTGTACAAAGTGAATCAAACAAAATTAAAGGAATAACAACATACGCACATATTTGAGTAGATGTCGAGTTGCCCTCATTATTTACAGCTGTCACCAGTTATTTTGTCGTAGAAAGTAACGACCTATAATGATTAAAATACCTACCTATGTCTCTATACTCGATAACAATAAAATAGAATTTATTTATTTATGTCAACAGACTATGTTGCACTAAACAAAGTAATTTAAAATACATGACTGACAAATAAGTAACAAACTTTCACAATAAACAAAATAGAAAATGAGGAACCCAAGGAAAGTAGTGATTAACCGACCGGTTCTCAATTCGTTTGTATATTTTTTTAGCGTTAGCTCAGAACTCTGCTTTATAATTTATTTACAACTAGCCGAGACCCACGGCGTTACCCGCGTTTGTTGTTATAACCGTGGGCAACGCCGCGGGGCGAAGCTAGTCTAAAAAAGTAGCCTAAGTTACTCCTTATGTCATCAGCTATCTGCCAGTGAAAGTCCTGTCGAAATTGGTCATGCTGTTCCAGAGATTACCCGAAAAACAGACAGACAAAAATTGTAAAAAATGTTATTTTGGCATATGTACCGTGTAAACATACATATTTAGTAAAAAGCGGTTATTTTAATATTACAAACAGACACTTCAATTTTATTTATTTGTATAGAAAATAAAAAACGCTTTTCTTCAAAGCTCCAAACTAAAAAGTATAACAAGTGAGAGCCTAATACTTTCTTTCAAATATGTCATAAATATTCATATATAATCAAATATGTATGTTTAAGGCCGGCGTGAAATCGTATTTGTATAAATGTATCTAAATCGTAAATAATGCATTTGACACGTGAATTGAGGTTTGTTAGTAGTTTTTTTTTTAGTATTTTATATTATGTTGTTGGAATCGAATTCGGTTTGACTTTACCAGCACAACAACTGGCCAGATGAAATCGGATTAATATCGCATAAAAAAAGTAATCGTATTATTTTAGTTCGGTTGTCTAGAAATGTTCTACATCAATATATATTTTTAGGCAGCACTTAAAATAACTGGATCATCAATACTTTCATTTTCGTTTTCTTTTTACTGTTTTCGTATTTTTATTACAACTTGTAATTTCAAATCAGTCGGTCAATATGACCATGAAAAATACACAATAAATCATTAATTATTTTTCAGCTTTTAGTTCACCGGAACTAAATCAAATGTGGGGTTATATTCTGTAATTTTATTAGTTATGTTTTCGTTTTTGCCGATTTTATAGTAGTTAGCCAATTAAAACTGATAAAACGTATTGTTATATACTCACAGGTTATTGTCAGTTGAATTTCGAAACATTGTTGGCAACACTGTTTTGTTGTTTCTTCATGTCTGAACTGTCAAACGAAAGTGTCAATCACGGGGAGTCAGGTTCCTCAGTTGGTATCAAGTGCCAACACCTAGGCAAAGTATAGCGGATGCAAAGCGCTATAACATATATGTCTATGACCCTATGATCGTACTACTGGAACATAATAATAATAAATCAGTATTGTTGTATAAGACTGCTTTTCTGACTAATAGTTTGCTTTAAAACTAACGTCTAAAATGAAAAATAAAACAATAAATAAAAATATCTCCACAAATAAAAAAGGATGATTTTTATTTCCTTTGAAAGTAGGATTCCACTCCTATTTTGTATCTAATTTGATTATCATACAAAAAAAAACATCCCTCGTTAACAATTATTTTTATGGATGGGAATTGAATGAACGATACGAATGGAATAAAAATAGGAAGAAAAGATAATTGATCATTCTTGATTATTATTTTTAAAAGATGTGCTAATAAAACAAGGAGTCGTGAAACGGTATGAATGCCGAAGGCCTATTACTAAAATTCTGTCGGGTAAATTTTTGGAAGTTCAGAAGAAATATTTCTTTATCAAATTATTGGCACCTTTTCATAGAATACGATTTATAGATTCCAGACTTATGGCTTTCTGTTAAAAAACTTGATATCATGGTTATCTTCGTATCAAAAGAAAAATAGTTCTAAGAATAATTTCTATCTAATAACTGGGCTGGACTACACCATTTAGGTTTTAGGTAGCAATTTGGCAGCTTGTCTCATCACCGACCTGAAAAGGTTCGTGTGTTACGGTTTAACTTCTCAGAGTTCAACAGTTGGTTCAATCTTCTCCAAGTTTAATGATTTGCTGAAATCGTTGCTCGTACATACCGAGGGTCAATGGTTTTGGGTTTGAGAGGGCGTGATGTGTGTGAATACCGTCTCTCCTGCTGATATTCACACACATCGCGCCTTCTGAACCACGCACCTGTTGCTATGGGGCTACAGGTCCACAGTCGGTTTTAATCGGTTCGACTCTGACAAGCTCACTTTGTCATCGTTTTGGCCTCGAATGTGATAATACCATGAACCTAGAAATGGTGAGTACTGTACAGAACTCTTTGAACAAGAATGATTATAAATATAATAAAAGTCTTAGATTTTGAAAATCACAAACATACTTGTACATACAGACATAGAGTTTGAATCATCACGAAATTTTTATGGTTAAGTATTGATAGTAAATTAAATTGGAAAATACACACAGAGGCTTTACGTAGTAATAATAATAAAATCAGTAGTTCAGCATATGCTCTGTTTTAAATTACACCTTTTTTTAAGATATGGAATAATATTCGTGGGCAACTCCACACATAAAGATGTAGTTTTTAAAGCCCAAAAAAAGATGTATTCGAGACATATTTAGTTTAAATAATAGAGTACGATCTTAACTTTACCGTCTTTTTTTATATTTGAAACCGCAACTTTTGTAAAATTAAATCCTGATTTATTTTACACGAAGTAGAAGGACATATACACGCGATAGGCTTCGCACACATAAAGCAAATACAGCTTTATTGCATAAAAGCATCTTCTGCATGGCGCCAGTGATATATGAATATGTATAATTAATTTAAAAAGTTAAATATTATTCTATTTAAGAAGCGCCTTTGACTTTTTAGTAAAGAATGCTACTATGCAATAAGTGAATTTCTCTCAGGAAATTAAGAATATTTTTGCATTATGACGGGCCTATTGGTCTAGTGGTTAGTGACCCTGACTGCTAAACCAGAGGTCGTGGGTTCGATTCCCACCCAGGACAAATATTGTGTGATGAGCACGGTCATTTGTCCTGTGTCTGGGTGTAATTTATCTGTAATATGTATCTATTTAAAAATATATAAGTATGTTTATCAGCAGTCTGGTTACCATAGTACAGGCTCTGCCTAGCTTGGAATCAGACGGCCGTGTGTGAAATGTGTGAGATATATTATATTATTATTATTACTAGTTGGGATGATCTTATTATTGTTGCTTAATTAAATAAATATATTTGTAACTCAAAGTATAATTGTAACATTTTGTCATTTATACTGACATTTTTATTTGATATGTTTATTGACAAATGTAATTTATTATTCAAATCAATTGACACTTATTTTTTACCAATTTTTGTATGCCGTTAAGGTAGACCGAAGAGGACATGTATAGATAAAAATGTAACACCATTGTACACCTTTAATCAGCAAATAAATAAATTATGAACATGACCTCCTTTAATGATATCAGTTAAGAAAAGTTTAATTATTTTATGTAAGTACAACACGCTAGCCGTCACGGATCTTGAACACAATTAATGTCACTTTACTATTGAAGAATGAACTTATTCTCATTGGCAGTGTAAAAATTACGTCAATCGATTAAAATATTCAAAAATAATGACCGTAACTGAATAACGAGAACACGACACCAGGAAAAAATTGTAATGGAAATAAATGACATTTAATTTCATGTTGCGTGACTGCAGCTACACCTGCCGTGATTTTAAGATTAAAAGAGAACATGAAATACACCATAAGCCACAGAACCCACAAACACAGAACACACCTTCAATTGCTAATTGCTGTTGATATTTATTGATGTGTGAGTAGACTCCTTATTGGCTGCTATTATTATCTTCCTACCTGATTAGTAGAGGGTCCACTTAAGAAATGTCCCTTGTCTCTAAATTCCTACATAGTCTGGCCATATACTAACGTTTAAATGTTTCCTTGAATTTGCGAGTTATAAGTAAGAAAGAAAAGACTGTTTTTAAAAAGAAAGGAAATCGAGGCTGGACTATTCAAGTGATTAAGAATTTATTAAAAGAATTCGAATTACGTACTCACAATAGGTAAAGTACACAGTTGGTACTCCAAGTCACACAACTTGGCTTTGAAAAAGCATTCTTCTTTGGTATAAGTACTGCAATCTCAAATCGTTTAAAAGCAGTTCAAATCTAGCATTAGGTTAAGTCAAGTTTGGCATTGGCATTGACATTATATGCCATGCCATGGCCATGCTGACATCCAACCTCCGATAGAAGTATAAGCACTAGAAGAAATAATGGGAAGAGATCCTGTTATAGGTTTTGACTTCTGGGATGATGATCAAATTTAAGTTAACAAAATGTGTTATCATCAAATGTGTTAGTATGCAAGTAACTTAAGTAAAAAAGTTCTGCACAATATTTATAAGTAGGCCGAGAGATATAAGGGACAATAAAATGAACTTAACATTAAGAACAATAGGCAATTATGGTTGAAAAAATGAGCCCATCTCATTAATTATTCAAAATTAACAATCAACAATTAGATGCTAACTTAATTGTTAAAGTTACACATAAGCCATTGTCATAACGTCGTAACTTTCTTAAATAAGCATAATTACAATACATAACAGCCACCACCATCGGATGCGGGCGAGCATCTCTCCATAGAAGTGGAACTTTATCACCATAAACTTCTGCTCGATGTGTACTATTCTTCTTCTTTGCACGTCAACTATTTTCCTTCCTTTGCGCAGATTTTAGAAAATCTTACTCCATCCTACGGGCATACG